ATCATCCAGGCCAGCTGCTTTGCCATTTTTACATTTATTGAGAGCCATGTCCAATTCAGTAGATGTAAAGGGTTCATGAAGGTTGTTGTTCTCAATCTCTGGTTGTCTGGCTATTGGTTTCTTTCCTACTTTGGTGGCAAGGTTGGGTTTCCCATTCTTCAAGAGTTGGTGTGCTATCTGATCTGCCTTTATGTTGGCATGGGTATTAGTTTGTGAGGGGTCATTGCTCAACCGTCTTAGCAGCCTCCACGCCTTCTGGCTGCTCCTGCCCATGTCGACCTCTGTGATCAGCTTGATCCACTGTTCTTTCTTGGCTTCAGAGATGGAGGACACAATGCTCTGCGCTGCCTGAAGAGTCTGCTCACTAAATGGGTCTTCGTTGTGGAGCCTGTAATAATTTTCCAACAAGGCAGCTGTTTCAGGAGTAATGCCCTGAAGGTAGTGGGTTCTGCAGCCTCTCGGTATAGAGGCCCGTGAGCAGGTTTTCACTATTTCAATAAAGTGCTCATATTCCTCAGGGATTGGCGCGACCGATATGATCATGTCATCTAACATGTCTGAGAATTTAGTCCAATCTGCCTTTCTGAAGTTGAATCTTCATTTAAATCAAGCTTCCTGAGGCCTTATGGTTGGGAACAGTTGGCATACTATTGGTCGGTGCTGTGTGTTCGGAATTGGTGGTCGCACTGATTTAGTGCATTGCTGTACAATGCTGTCGCTCACAAATAAGAGATCTAGGTTATATCCTCGGTGCCCTCTCCCGCTGTTGTAGGATGGTGGGAGCTTACTATCATGAATGAGTGATAGTTTGTGCAGTTCAGACCAGGAGAGGACAGCCTCTCCATTTTTGTCCTCTTGAGCATAGCCCCATACATGGCTATGGCTGTTAAAGTCACCAATTACTACCGCCCTTTGGTGCCTATCAAAGTTCTCAGGGGAGGAGAAACAAAACTCTTCATTTGGGGGCTTGTACACAGAGGTGATTGTGATGTTATTAAGCTCTACTGTTATAACCTCAGTGTTGTGGGCACTGCTGACTTAGAGGCCTGGTTTTACAAAGAGAGCGCTTCAATTGGTCCAGCGTGTGGCAGCCATGATACTAACAGGGGCGGCACACAGGGAGCATACAACCCCTCTGTTGCGCCAGCTCCATTGGCTACCAATCTGCTACCGGGCCCAATTCAAAGTGCTGGCTTTGGCCTATAAAGCCCTAAACGGTTCTGGCCCAAGTTACCTATCCGATCGCATCTCCACCTATGAACCCACTAGGACTTTGAGATCTTCCGGGGAGGCCCTGCTCTCGATCCCGCCTGCAACACAGGCACGGCTGGCAGGGACGGACAGGGCCTTCTCAGTGGTGGCCCCTCGGCTGTGGAAAGCCCTACCCACAGACATCAGATTGGCTCCCTCATTAATGGCATTTCCGGAGAAAAGTGAAAACATGGCTATTTGAACAGGCGTTTGAATAAGCAGTGCAATGACTTCAGGAATGGAACTACGACTGACGAGTTTGGATCATGATTCTAGTTATAAGATGCCACTTGAATGTTTATTACTGATAAATTGTTTAATTTGTTTCTGTGCTAATTGTTTTTAAGTATCTGTTGATGTCGCATTGAATTCTTGCCTTGATTGTTGCTTTGTTCTTGCTTGATTGTTGTAAACCGCTATGAGTCGCCTTAGGGCTGAGAATGGCGGTATACAAGCGAAGTAAATAAATAAATAAATAAATAAATAAATAATACTGTGCATGTGATCTTTCCGCTACTAAGACCATTCCTGGAACTTTTGGTCATTTCTGTTTTTTCATCCCTGTGTGTTTCTTGGACACACAGCACATCCCATTTCTTATCTTGGCACAGTTCATAGAGCAGTTGTTCTTTGGCAGTAGACATGCCTTCAATGTTGATTGAGATTATTGTGACGGTTGGTCCTGAGAAAGTCTGTTGGTTGTTTTGCTTGCTTGCTTGCTTGCATGCTGCAAGTCGCTTCTGGTCGCTTCTGGAGTGAGAGAATCAGCCATCTATGAAGACGTTGCCCAGGGGACGCCCGGATGTCTTGCAATCCTGCGAGAAGGCTTCTCTCATGATATACAGTAATAAAAAAGATCAAAATGTATGGACTATTAAAACTATTTTAACCAGAACCTCCACAATTAACCTGGCAAAATGCTTAACTACTCTACCATCTCTAAGTGAGTGTTACACCAACATTTTTTTATTTTACAGATATGCAAAATGTAAATAAAAATTAAGGCAATGAGAAAAAGAATGCTACAAACAATTGTTCTATAAATCAATTAATTTCTCATCCCGCTCTAAGTGAAGTACTCTTCTGAAACAGCACTAAACTACAGTTTGTATTCAGAAGCTATGACAGAATAATCCCTTTGTTAGGCCCATCAAAAAGGAACTTCCCACTGCAAGGAGACAGTTATACACTTATAGCCAGATTGTATGTTCACAATAAAAGAAGATCACATTTCCTTGACTTCTTTGTTCCCAGCAAGCATAGCAGCAACCCCAGGTATAACATACCACCTAACTGAACTATATTTGAATACCTACTGAATGAATTTCTCTGTGTTAACACTCAAGACACAACAGGGTCATTTTTTCTTTCTCTCCCCTTGCTTTCCAAAAATTTTGCCTGATTAAGGACCTCATCACATGGAGGTCCACAAGCCTGGGGTCAGCATGGGAAACCGTGGGGCAGGGCCCAGCTTAGTCCCCTTATCATTGTGGGTCATGGGCTACCATCCCAAGATGTTTCTATGCTGTCCCCGGCTTCCTTGTGTGCTGTCCCCAACTTCTTCAATTAGGAGACAGGTAGTCAGCTAACTCCTTAGGGCTCCCTCTTGGTCTGCTGCAGGCATGCTGCCAACATGGAGCCCAACTGAGCCCCACCAGAAGTAGCCCTGCATCATTTGATGGCCTCCAGCTGACTCCATCCCAGCAGCATGCCAGCAGCATGCTAAGATGGGGAAAACTACCCATCTGAGAAGGTGGGATGAGATCTAGAGCTCAATAGCTCACAAACATTTATCTGCTCTTTTTCAATGGCCAAATAAAGGTCAAAGCTAATGTGATTTTGAAACTTACAAAGAGGAGATAATCTACTTCATAGCTAGAGAAGGGTATATGCCAGTTATAATATAGCAAATGATGATGACCTGTTTTATCTCAGGAACAGAGACTCAAAGTGGCCTCAGTCTCATGAATGTAAATTACCAAATATAAGCATATATAACTCAATTGCATAAATAAGCTGAGGGCAGGTTTGAGGGCCAAATGATGAATTTTGATATGACCTGTGGATAAGTCAAGAGGGGAAAGCACCAATGCCACCTTTGGGAGTCAGCCCTTTCTGTCCACTGGCACAATTACCCCATCCAGACATTAAAAGTGGCAACACAGTGGAGATAGAAGAGAGGATTGGTGCTTCTTATACAACTTCATCTCATGGAGGCCAAGAAGCATCTTCTCAGCCACTTCTTGCCATTACTGACACACTACTGGCACAGAGTCCACCAGAGACCATCAGATGACGCAGGGCTACTTCCAATGAGGATCTGTTTGGCTCCATACTGGCAACGTGCTGGCAGCAGAGAGAAACAGAGTCCAGAGGAGCTGGGGAGGAAGTCGGGGACAGTGGAAAAACATAGTGGGAAGGGATCCCATGACCAACCACTGTAAGGGGATGAAGTGGTATGCTGCCCCATGGTTTTCCTTGCTGTCCCCCGGCTTCTTGGCCTGCATATGATGAGATCCTTAGATTCTCCTGGAATGGACTAAGCTCTCACCTTTTGCCACTTTACTCACAAAGAGAAAGGTTCTTTTTTGGGAAGAGTTAATTTACAGTACAAGGAATCCACATGATGTACAGTTGTATTCCAAGCAGAATTACTGCACCCAGTTGTTAATTCGCAACAACAAAACATGGGTTTCAGGTGTATGGAAAGTTGCATGGGGCAGAATCCAGCCCAAATACATTGTTGGACTGACTGCTGCCAGTAAACAACTCTCCCCCAGAAGCTTGCTGGCAATGTCACAATTCTGGTGATCCCTTCCTGCTTCCTGACAGGACTCCAAATTTGCCTTGACTGTTCTTTAAGTAGGGTTGGCAATGGGCAGACATGGGGCTCTCACATATGGCCTTGAGGAGCAGTGATTCACCTTTTCTGTAGGTTTCATGGTCCCTTGGCACTATTTAATATTTTAAAAGACACATCTGCAAAAACCAGAAGTGGAATTCTAGTATATTGTATCCACCACACCCCTTTTGACATTTAGGTTGTCTATGAAGTCACTAAGGAAGAAAACTGGCCTCTGTAACTGCTGAAGTTGACCAGCCTCAGTTGCATTGCTTTTTAAAGAAAAATTCACCCTCTGTTGCTATTCTGTGTTTGAACTTTTCTGGTTTAGATATTATACCTGAAGCCCACCCACTTTAAAACAGAACATATGAGCAAAGGAAAAGGAGGAACCAGTACTATCATTAAAAAGAATGAAATTGGAAAGGTTGGGATGAAGAGTTGAAGCAGAAGGGGAGGGACCAGTGAGCTAGTGGCTTGAGCTTCACACACCCCAATTTAAGACATGGAGGGGAACCCTCCATTTACCTTAAATGGTGCAACCTGAAGACAGGACTTTATTCTTAAATAAAGTATAGAAATATATGAAATCTATCAATTGTGTCCATGCTTGTCTTTAGTTAGTGAAAGCACTTTTGCTCACATCTGATTTCAGCCAATGCCTTTTCCATATTTCACCCTTCTATGTTCCTGAAAAGATTGGAAAATTTTCCACCACAGGGCTGCAGAAAGTTGTAGTAGACAAGAAGAAAGGACTAAATATTGAGTGCCCTGCAAAAGAAGTACTTCCCACGAATACAAATTTGCATCCATTTCAGCACAAACAGTATGCCAGGTAGCACTGGATTCTGTGCCAATTTGGTAATAAATAATAAAAATCAAATTAACTATATGGACCTATTCTTACCCTGTTATATGACTGTATTCTTCCTCTCTGTCAGCAAGTTGAATCTCCTGGTCCAATTCTTGCTCTATTACCATGCCATCTTTAGGAAGTTGTGAATGGTCTTCCAAATCACCATTACCATCACCACTCTGAAATAAAAGAGCACCTGTTTTTCCATTGTGTGAAATCTCATCCTCTTGCTCCAGTAATTTGTGAGAGCTTCTGTCTAGTAGTGTTTCTATTTGTGTCTCAGAAACCAATTCCTGAATTAAAACATCTTCTAATTCTTTAACAGGATTTCCACACAGTGGCTGCATTGTGTCTGCCTTGCTATAGTTTTCTTCAGGGGATACATCATCCGCTCCATGTTGGCCCACCATAGTCCATTCCTGATCTTGCACAAGGCTTCTGGATGCTTTCTTTTCATCTCCCAGTTTTTGAGGTACAACAGCAGCACATTTCTCTTCAAAATGAAAAGAATCCCATTCAGTCTCCAAAGTAGGCTGCCCTTCACTTCCATTTATTATGGAGATTGACTGAAATGTATCCGAGGAGTCTGGTGAAAAGGTTTGAAGAGAATCTGTTTGTTCTGCCACTGCTGTAGCTTCCTGCGAAGTGAAATTGCTTTCTCCTGTTACCAAGATATCCTTCCTCAAAGGTACATTTTCTTCACCACTAATGAGGACATAATCCATCTCCAGTGAAGACTGATCTTCCACTTCGTTTAACACTGTAGCTTCCTTCCTTTCTTCACTTGTCCTCTCTGTGGATGTAGACATTTTAAGATCACTACTAAGTATATCACAGGCAGCTTCTGAAATTAAACACAACAATTTCAGTTTCAGCAGTTAATTCAATACTCAAGTTCATCCCACAAATAAAACAATTTTGTGTATGGCTCGTATTGTGCTTTCTGCTTAATAATAATAATGATAACAACAACAATAACAACACTTTATTTATAACCCACCCTCTCTCCCCGAAGGGACTCATTTTAAATTAGATTTAGTAAATTAGTATCTCACATATTGGGAGGGCATTTTGGTTCATTTTAATGGTAAAAGTGTGTGTTTTAGAACTGAAGAAATACAGTATATAGACAGCCCCTGGTTACAAACATTCTACTTACAAATGACCCATAGTTAAGAATGGAGGTGAGAAAAGAGGAACTGAGAGAAATCCATCCCCAGAAAGGGGAATTGACTACTGGAAGAGTTATCATGGGGGAAAGGGACCTCAACTGAAGCTTTCCCAACAGTTCTTGTTTACACAACAAGCAATTTTTTTCAAAATCCAATTATCACAGGGACAGAAAGTGAGCTAAAATCTTCTGAACAGGAGCATAAACAGCAAAAACAAACATTCCCTATTCTATTCAAAGCTCTCTCTCTCTCTCTCTCTCTCTATATATATATATATATATATATATATATATATATATATATATTGGTTACACTAAAAAATGTACCTGCTCCGACTTACATACAAATTCAACTTAAGAACAAACCTACAGAACCCATCTTGTTTGTAACTTGGCGACTGCTTGCATACTTTATTTCTTCAGTTCTAAAATATACTTTTTCCTATATAAAAATCTCTAAAAATGGGGAGCATCTTACAATCATAGGTGTATCTTATGTATTTTTGGTAGTGGTGGTGGTCCTTAAATTAGGGTGCATCTTACATTTAAAGATATACATATATATCTTTAACTGTATTTTTGCCAGTATGTGGAATAGTAATAAACACAGGCCTGCTAAACCGAGATTCAAAAACTTTTCTTAAAAAGTTATGCTGGTTTTATAGAAACTTGGCATTTTCAATCCAAAAATGATCTCAGGTTTTCTCCATTACAAACACTTTTTTCATAACTTGCGGTGACATTTCTATGCTATTAAATGTGAACTGAATGAAAAAAATTTTTTAATGAAGACCTTCTAAAACACATTAAAAACTTCTACAATATTTTGTTTAAGTAGGAGGAGGGGTTTCATCTCAGGCCTGTGTAATAAATATTGCCAGCTTTAAACAGGGATTGCAATGGAAAGGTTTAGGCACAGAGCTTCTTATCCCTCAAATACAATCTCAGCTATTGCCTGTATGAAAGAAACTGACTATGATCTAATTTAAAAATAAGACTAGTTTGCTTGTTTTAATGCATGTATTAATTTCTTACCATTGTCCAGGCATACAACTCCATCTGCTGGTGAACTAATATGAACTGATTCTGCTTCATACTTGAATTTTTTCAAAGAGTCAGACGACATGGGAGTTATTTCAGGTTCCAACAAAGAAGCCCAGTCTTGATCTTCTTGAGAATATCCTCTGGCTTTGGGATTAGTATGACTATGTACAGCTTCTGAAAGATTAATTTCACCTTCACCAACTCGGGAATCAATATGACTTGAATTTGTCCCATGTGCAAATTCTTTCGATACGTTTGAATGTTCATCAGATTCCAGCAAAAGTGAATCCCAACCTTGATCTTCTTGAACACATTCTGCAACTTCACCTCGGAAAGCAATATCTTTAGATTTCAAAATGTTAATGTCATTGTCACCTGTTGGTGATTCAATATTACTTGAATCTGTTTCATACTCAAATTTTTTCAAAGTGCAAGAAGATCCAGGAGTTCCATCAGATTCTATTAACAGGGATCCCCAACTATGATCAACTTGAGAACTTTCATCTTTTATATCCTTAGGGTCACATTCTGAAATGTTCGTGTCACCTTCTTGATGAGTGTATTCTGCACCAAATGCTACATCAAATGGAGAAGTACATGCATATGGTGAATGTCTATCAGGTGATTCTGCAAACCACGGGCTGTGATTCTCCTGTATATTTTCAGGTTCTTGTAAAATTTCAGTAACATTTTGGCTTCCTGTATCATACACAAAATCTTCCATCTCTTCTTCTATGGAGGCCTGCAATGAATGCAACTGTGTGGATCTTGTATGTATTTCTGTACTTTCATCGTCTATGATTGCCAAAGAATTACTTGCATTTACTATGACAGTTGGGCTATTGGCAATTGCTGTCTTACTGATGCTGTGTTCTATTACAATTTCATCATTAACATGGATATCTGATACTTCTTGTTGATCATCATTCCCTGTTATATGGTCAAAGTCTGAAAACTGATTACCATCAGCAAAGGGATCACTTACAGAATCATCTATAGGCAAAACAGGAGCAACAGCAGGACACATAGATTTATCTACAAAAGCAGAGACTTCCTTTTCTTCAATGCTTTTCTTTTCAAATGCACAATTATCTAGATTTAGAGATACTGCTTCTATACTTTCTATACTTGGCAAATTGTCTACTTCAAAAGATTTTTTGTTTTCTGTGTCAGAAATCTGCACATTTACCATTCCATTTTCAAGTGGTTCTTCCATTCTACTAGTTGACAGCTGGTTAGACTCCTCAATGTTTGCCTCAAAATTATCTGGAAGGCATGAACCATTTCCTTCAGGATGTATCTCTTCTCTGTCAATCACCAGCTTCTGATTAAAATAAAAGTCTGTATCTCTGTCCATATCTGACAGCATTGGAGACATATGAGTAGCATTGTCAGGCTCAGATAGGACAGAAGACTGAGCACATGTTTGCTTGTTTTCATATTCGTGGCAAACATCAGGACTGCTTGAGGCCTGTGAACTGCTATCTTGATCACAGTGACTTAATATATCAGGATTTTCTTTGTTTGTTCTCAGATTGAAAGGCTGTTCTACAACATTCCACAAATCTGGATCAACAGTGAATCCCTGACTGTCTACAGGATTGTTATTTTGTAATATATCTGGAACAAATGCATTTTCAAATGGTACTCTGTCTTCATCAAAGTTTGGGCTGGGTGTACTTACTGTTAGAGGTTGTGTAGTATTTGGCAAAGATATGTCATGTGAATCTAATGGAGTTTGAGTATATGGGTCTCCTATGTTTATTGCGCTTGGATCACTAGAAGCTATATTCAAATTATCTTGTAACAGACCAAGCTTGGGATCTACCTGAGCAAGTGCATTAAACAGGCTTGACTTCCAGTCTTCTTCATGAACTTGTTTAAGATATTCCTGGTCACTAACAACAGAAGCAAAAGGTTCTTGCTTAACATCCCCTTCATTGTTGTATGATTGTGAATCATACTCTTCAAAGTTTACAGAAACATGATCTGAACCTTCTGGTGGTTTATCCAAGGAGTGTTCTCCATTTTCATATTCGCCTTCACTATGATATGGAGTGGATTCATTTTCATCGATTGCAGCATTTAGTTCTTCAAGGTTTTCACTTCTTTCTGTGAGTACTCCCAAAACATAATGGCCTGTGGTTATGGAATCATTCATTTCAAAATCATAACTGGTATTAAATACTTGACCCACTGAATTGTCACCTTGTTTTTGCAAATCCCACCATTCTGAAGAATCATTTGGAAACCCAAGATCTTCAACTGTGGACTTCTGAGGTGTGTCTAATGAACTTTCAGAATGACCATGGAGTAGTAAATCCCATGCATCTGAAGTCTTTGATGCATATTCCTTTTCATGAGTTATAGTTAAGGTTTGGTCATGTATGTCATCCTGAGTTTCCCAGTGTGCTAAATGCTCAGAGGGTTCATAAAAATAATCCTTTGTTGAAGTATTACAGGTACCATCACCTTCAGAACATTTATTAAATGCAACTAGATTTTGTTCCAAACTGGCCCAAGCATCTGAACTTTCGGAATTAGCTTCTGGGTTTGTTCCACAGCAATACAAAGATTCCTGAGCTATCATATCTTCCTCCAGTTGATCAGGATTTACATCTGATAGTTTTCCTGACTCATGTACATTTGAATATTCTGAATATTCATCTAATCCAGGACTTGATAAAGAAGAAACTGTATCATCCTCTATGTGAGTATTCCAAAGGTCTAAGTTTTTTGGAACTTTGTGATCAGTGCTTGTCTCAGAATCTTCTTGGCTTTTATTCTCAAGCAATTCTTTTTCATATGCTTCTATTTTACCATTTGTAATATCCAAATCCTCTGCATTTCCTTTTTCAGTAATAGCTGTTTGCAAGCTGTTCCAAGTATGCATATTTGTAGAAGAATCACTGAAATCTGGAGTTGTAGCACATGAATGTGTATTGTCATGAATGAAATTGCCTTTGACGTCAATATCTGCAGGGAGAGTGTATGTGGTATCTGATTTTTCAAGTATTTCTTTTATTTTGGGGCTTACAACAACAGAATGTGCTTGTTCATTCACTGTTACATTCCAAGCATCCAGAATTTGGGACAATTCATGATGAGGTATAACGTCAATATATGTCTTGTTTGACACTTTATTTTCAGATTCTAGACTTTCAAAAGTTTCATCTCTTTCAACATAATCCATTTTATAAGAAACTGAATTACTTATTGTAGGTGTCCCTGTTGCATATTTAGTATATTCTACATCTGGATTTTGTGGAATATCGGTTGATTTTTCTTGATTTATATCTTCCAAAGAAGAAGACCTGACATTCAAATTAGATATTATCTCTTCATATAAATATCCCTGTTGTCCTCTTTCTGGTAGTGGTGTTTCATCGTGTAGCAAAAGATCTGATGACTCAGACACACTCTTCCCCAATGTATCCCATTGGTCTTCATTCTCAACAAATATTACAGAAAGCTTTTCTTGATTGTTCACCTTTTCCATGGAACCTAGAGAAGGCCTTTCCAGCTCAGGAGTCTTTTGCGGGGTCAAATCCTGATCAAAACATTTCTGGACTGATGTCAATGCCACATTTAAACTGTATTTTAAATCATCAGTGATATCAAGATGAACCAAAGGTTTGCTACCATTTTTGGAAGACATAGTAAAGCAATCTATATTGCTATCTGGGGGGTTTTCTTTCTTGTCCTCATTGACAGGATAAGTCCAATTAGGAAATAGTGTGCTTATGTCTGATGGTTTTGCTGCTTCTTTGGGATTTCCACTCTCTCTTGTTTTTTCAGATGACCTAGGATCATCAGGCACTGTCTTGCTTTCATCTGAATTACTAACATATGACAGAATAAGTAAAGATGATGGTGGTGTGCTATCATTCTGTGTTAATTCATTTTTAATACTGTCAAAAATATCATGTTCACTTCTTTCATCATTCCTCCTTTTACATTCCTCAACTTTTTGTGCTGAGGCAGAAGAAGCATCAATATGTTCTAGTCCAGACTCTTGACTGCATTGAAGTTGCTGATTCCACTGATCTAAACGTTTGTCTAGAAGCTCACTGTCCTGCTCTGTTTGTTCAGTTCTTTTTATTCCACTATTAACTGCAATAGTGCTCTCCCTGTCATTGGTGTCATTAGAAAAGTCTCCACTAGTTGTTTCAGCTTTTTCTTTGGACTTGTGTTTAATATTACCTAAAAGTGAATGACTTCTGTGTGCAGAAGTCACAATTAATCCACAGTCTTCAGAGCTAGAAGGACTGCTTTCATCAACACAGTAGTCACCTGAAAAATGTGTGGCACCTTGTTGTTCTAAATGCTGTGAAATAGTGTTTGTTATAAAGTTGACCTTAGAATGTTTAGGTTCTGTTTGGTTCTCGGGACCTCTGTCTTTCCAACCAGTATCAAATGAAGGTATAGGAGATGGTTGAGGCAATGTTTTCTTCTCTGTTATATCATATCTTTCATGTTCACTTGAGTTTGAATTTATCATTTTATCAAAGATGGGTTCTTGGTGAGAAATCTTTCCTTCACCTTCTTTTTCATCTCCAGTTCCTGATGGTGATATGTAGGAATCAGAGGTTGAATAATTTGTATCTGGTGGAGAAACAACTAAGTCATCACATGTATTTGATGTGATGAAGTCTGGATCTCTGTATGACAGGAAGGGATCTTCCCAGGAGACAAGTATATTTTCTCTCATGTTTGAGTCAGATACATCCCATCCTTCAATGCTGTCAACTTGTTTGGATTTTTCCACAGTGTTGTTTTGGTATTCCAAGGTCAATTTAACATTCTTCTGCATATTATTAATGTGAGATTGTGTATTTGTATATGTTCTGCAGTTATCTATTGAACTTTGATTATCTTTAATTTTGGATTGTAAATCCACTTGATTGGTTAGCTTTTCATATTCACCTTCTCCAGAGAGTTCTGGCAAATGTTTAGACACAGACCATGTATCGCAATTCCTTTGTGAAATGTGATCAAAATCTACTGGAGGAACATTCCAGGCATCCTCAGAAAGTTCAGAAACATCACAATCTGGCTTTGACCAAACATTAGGTGAATTAGTTTCCACGTATCCACTGTGATGGTTGGTATTATCCCATTTATCAGTTCTTGAAGGCATTGGTTGATTGGATTTCCACATGCTAGAAAAAATTTCCCTTTGTTGCCCATTGCCTTTTTCATTGTTTTCCAAAGTAAACTCATTCTGGATAGGACTAAGTTGATCATCCCAAAATTCCAGATGCTCCCGTTGTTTTTGCACATAGACAGAATCGGACGCTCTTCTGTCAGTTTCTTGTCCCAAGTGTAGACTTGCTTTATGATCTTTCCATGAATCAGGATTCTGAAATACAGCTTCTGTATCAGCTGACCTCCATGTAGCAGCATCTTTTGAATCTAATTCATAGCCTTCCCACCAACTGCCATATCTAACACGAGATGGAGGATTCACATAATTAATTTCATTAATTTTTTTAATTACATCTTGTGGATAAAGTAAAGGTGGCCCACTATCTAAAGGTGATGTATCCACAAGGCTGTTCATTGGGGTTGGTGGAGTCCTTCTCTCAGCAGTTTTCATCAATTCGGAAGAAGGCGGAGAATCATTTTCCAAGGCAATCAAACTTGCTTTTGTTTCAGTAAAATCTCTAGGATTTTCTTGCTGGTTTTCGTGCTCATTAAATTTTACTATGTCATTGTCTTCATTTCTTGTCATTGGCAAATCAGCTGAATAATTTGAAATGTCATATTCGGATGAATTGGTCTCATCATGTATTTTTGTGTCAGCTTGCTGCTGTCCTTCTGATGAGCCACTGTCATGGGAGAAATCATCACCAAGGGAGCAGTCCACAGAATGAGAAGACTCTGTCTGAACTGCAGTCATTGGTGGTAAATCAAAATTGAAAAAATCAAAATTGTCACTGCTGTTTGTAGACTGAGGTTTTTCTTCAGCTACTGCTCCTTCAGGAATAGGGCTATAAGAGTCAAAGCCAGAGAGGAAGCTGTGATGAGATGCAGCCCCCTCAGCTACTGGGCTATCATCACTAAGAAAAACCGAGCTTTCCTTGGAAGACCTGCTGCTTCTGATAGTAGCAAGTCCACTGTCTGGACTCACAAGATCCACATTAATGTCAGCATGGACTTGAGCAGATCCATTATGATCTTGAGGGTTATCTATAAAGTTGACAACATTTGACTGAGGTTCAATATCAGAACCATACAATTCAACGATTCCAGAAGACCCTTGGGAAAGTGGCGCACTTCCAGCAACAGCTTCAGTGGAAGATGTCCTACTGTTTGCTAACATCTCTGGGTGTCTTCTGGTGATAACATCTTTCATTAGCAGAAAAATTTCATTGCAATTTGCTGTAGAATTTTCTTGCTGATAAAGGAGCAGTTGGTCACATCCATATTCCAGAGGATCCAGTTCCAGGCAAGGATTCTGACATTCTTCTAGCTCACAACATATCTGTTGAAGAAGAGCAGTGTTAAAAGGGGAGAAGAAGATGTAGAGGAGAATGGGAAGAATACAGTGATAAGGAATTGACCATTTATATTCTTTGCTTTGCTTTAGCCAGCCAGCTCTGTAACTAACATGCAGAGGAAGTCAAACCTAACATCTCTGGCTGAGTATAAAGCCATTAAAACATAGCTATTACAAGCCTGATGGGAAATGCAATTGGCCTTCTCCATTTGCTAAGGTTAGAAATACAGAACCCTTGCAAATGTGGGAATATTTTTTAACCTGAAAAAAAAACATCTCTACAAATCTTTAGATCCTTTGGTGTGACTCTATGGCCAACTTCAAATGCATTGGAAGACCTAGAGATTGCTATAGAGATTATATCAACTAAATCCCCAAAAGTTAATCCTGAAAATATGGAAGGCTGGCTGTATATTTTAGCAAAACTTCGACTTCTAACAGGATTATTTAAGGCTTTAAGTTTGGAGGCAGCACAGCTGTAATTAAACAACTGACTTGATACTTAGGAGACTCACTTTCAGCCTGCTGCCTGTCTCTTTTGGACCAGTTTCATATCCTTCCTTTTAAAACAATTTCTTTTAAATATCTATTTTTCATCCTTTTTAAAACAATCATTTTTAGGATTGCATAACTCATCCCAACACTGTGAAAAAATGTGCCAGGTGTTTCTGCAGGAACCCCTTTATTTCTCTGAAATGCTTCCAGAGAAATAAGCAACAATACTAAGCAATTGTTTAATATTTTACTTCTCGGTGAGAGCTAAGCATTCCTGTCCATTCTGCCAACTGCAATTTCCTGGTAACTTGGGAAGACCCATGCATGGAACGATGGGACCAAATGGGTACTTTGGCCACAGACTCTATAAAAATTGCTCTGTTTCCATCCCCATCATGGTATTCACTGTTGTCCTCCTGCCCTATTTTTAGACAAGATGCAATTCCTTAATTCCTTCATTCATGATTCATACCTGATTTCCCAGCTCCATGTTTTCTGAATAAACAGCTATTTGCCTTTTTTCTTGCTCCTCTTCTGATAAGTATCTGGCCAAAATGACAAGGACATCAAAGCCATATTTGTCCACAAATGCTTTTAAATCTCCAGTTATATTTCTGTGCAAGAGGCAGTCCTGAAATATGACAAAATTATTCCTGACTGAATAAATTAATTAATTATTTCTACTTCCAGACATAGCTTAATTGAGTTAATGAACATCATGTGTCACCTGTTCATATATTATATACTAGTAACTTGTCCATATATTTTGCTAAGTAACTGTTCAGTCTGTAAATATCATGTTAGACGGGTAAACATTTTTGCAAAGGTATTAAAGTATTTTCTCTTTGAGGAAGCAACTACCACATTTTGCCAAAAGTCCAAGGTTTGACTTAAGTAAATATAAAGAATCATAACATCTAATGCACATGTTGGAAGGAAGAGCATGGACATCTACTGTTACTAAAGTTAAGTTACTAAACATAAGCTGCTCTGAGAGCCTTTGTGGCTAAACAGCAGGGTATAAATATGCTAAATAAATATATATTTATTTATTGCTGTTGCTTATACCCCGCCCTTCTCACCCGGGGGGAGAAGGGCGGGGTATAATAAATATCCCAAAAGTAATAGGCAGATAATAATTATCTACCAGTCAAAGTATTAAAAACATGAGATGTGAATCCTGGTAATAATATATAGCTTAGCTACACATAAGTCACGAGATTATAGTCTGGAATACCTATGCTTATTGAAATTTATACAGGTTGAGTATTCCTGGTCCAAAATGCTTGGGACTAAACATTTTCTTTTTCTTTTTTCAGATTTATATCTTGAATTAAGGGCAGGGTACAAAGGGGATTCATATCACATTCTGTGTCTGCTGAATTTTCCTTCAAAAAGACTAGACATTGGATGTCAGCACACTTTCCATCCTTTTAGCAAAGTAGTCGGGAATGGAAGGGGAAAATCTGCCCCACCCTCTGCATTTGCATATAAGGGAGATTTGCCCGATATAATGTCTTCACCTCCCTGTGTTGCCAAGAACATTTCCCATTTCTATCTGCTTACTTTGCTGTAAAATATTAAATAACAGTGCATTATTGTCTGCCTGTATAGTTTAACATGTTTGAAATTATTGCTTGCTGTAAGAACTTAACCTGAGCATTTTGTGTTGACGTTTCTATAATAAATAAAACTTTGTTTATACCCCGCCACCATCTCCCCAATGGGACTCAGAGCGGCTTACATGAGGCCAAGCCCAACAACACATCAATAAAGCAAAAACAATAAGCAAAAAATATATAAATAATATTACTCACATATAAACAGGAATACGCAAGGATTTAAAAAAACCTATGGCCGGGCCAAATGTAATAGTTTAAAATTTAAAAAATAAACGCTGGGCATGAACAGAGGTAGGATGTATCTGGTAGTAGGATTTTAAAAGAAATGGAGAGCAACCCAATGAGTAGTTAAAGTGCTTCTGAGGACATTTTGCTGGGGATTATTTCCTTATTAAGGGAAGGCACACTGGAACAGCCTTGTTTTCAGACTCCTCCTAAAGACTGCCAATGTGGGGGCTTGTCTCATATCCTTGGGGAGTGAGTTCCAGAGTCAGGGAGCCACCACAGAGAAGGCACTCTCTCTCATCCCCACCAATCGCGCCTACGAAGGGGGTGGGAGTGAGAGCAGGGCCTCTCCAGATGATCAAAGAGATCGCGTGGGTTCATACACAGAAATGGGTCATGCAGGTAAGTGGGTCCCAAACCATTCAGGGCTTTGTAGGTAAGAACTTGCACCTTGAATTGGGACCGGAAAATGAATGGCAGCCAATGGAGCTCCTTAAACAGAAGTATTGATAGAACTATTGGTTCTGTGTTGCTGGGTTGAGCACAATATGGTTGGCATCCTCTTAGTGGCATGCACAGGCAGAGGCCCTCCATATGTTTGCATATGTGTTTTTCAAAATCATGTCAAGAGACATGTATCCCACCATCTGTGACACACAACACAGCCAAATGCTATTCTTTCAAGCACATACACACTATATGAACTATGGAATTGCTGTAGAAGTTCAGTGGTAAATCCAGAGGTGGAGTTGGAATGGTCAACTATAGTGTATTCTGCATGTCCAACTATCATACTATATTGTGTCATGCAGAATCCTGTATTGGCAAACTGAAGAGAAACCCTTTTATTCAACCATTGTTAATGATAAATTGAAGACATATATGCAAAGAGTGGATGTATCAGTACTGAGTATGAAAATGCAATGGTTTGAAAATACAGAATGCATGTTTATGTGATATAATTAGAAAGAAATTTTAAAAGTTTTAAAAGATGGACATTGTCCCCTGGGAAATCAGCTTTTAAATTAATTCATCCCCAACATTATATACTTCAGGAACCAGGCAATCTAATGATTTGTGACAAATTCTTACCTTATTGTAAATACTAAACTACTAAAGGAAGTCAGAGCTATTTTAAAATATTGCCAATACTATATAGAGAACACTACACAAATACTTATATATAGTGATCATCTTTTATTCATTCCATTTAGTTGTATTATACCCAAATCCATTCCTGTTTCCATTAACACAGTGGTTCTCAACCTATGGGTCCCCAGATGTTTTTGGCCTACAACTCCCAGAAATCCTTACCAGCTGTTAGGATTTCTGGGAGTTGAAGGTCAAAATATCTGAGGACCCACAGGTTGAGAACCACTACCATTAACAGTTCCCACTGCCCAAAAGATATTTTTAAAATCAGGAATCCTCCAGAACAAATTGGGATGTATTGTAGGAGTTGGAGGTTGGATAGAAACCAAGGAAGAAACTGACTTATGTGGCCAGATATTGTGAATCATATTTCTGACATTTTTCATTTCCTAATAGTTGCAATTCTTTTGAACCTAAGTGAGTCAAATAACAGTTGCATGGTATTTTAAAACTGAGCCCTTTTACGGTTGTAGACATTGTATTTTAAGTCAACTGATCAATTGTTTGTAATTTAATCCAAATTTTAAATCATCTTTTCGTTCAGCTTCTGTCAAAAAATGGGAGTAATATTTTGAAAACTCTTTTGTTTCCTGTCACAATTTCTGAAAACCATTGGTATCTTATATTTATTTATCTTATTTTTCTTTATTACTCACATAAGAAATTTGTCATATGGTGGATGCTATTGAAAATAGACTGCCTTTTAAACTCATTTTTCTAAATCCCATTACATCTCAATTATTTGCAAAGGAACATATTCCCTTTAAATTGTGTTCCGGATCATGATAATAATTTGGATTTTCATCTTAAAGTTGATTATAATGCTTGAAAAATCTGGATATTGTTGTAGCCTTTATGAATGCAATGGATTCATCCAACATGCATCTCTAACACAATTCAGAGAAACAGTATGTTCCCAATTGAAAATGATATTGATAGAGAATATGTTATACATTATTTTGCAAAACAAAGTTATTTTACTGTAGCTTTATTTGCAACCATACATACATGGGAATTAAAAAGTACCACTTTGGGCATAACTCTAACAACAGATTTTCTTTTGTTTTTGTCCTTCTCAATAGTTATACTTTCTGATTGATGGCATCTGACAGTTGATTACCCAAGTGAGCCCCTTGTAAATGTACATTGCATATACATCTGACTCTTTGGAGGAGCTAGCTGTGTCAATATTAACCTGACCAAATTAAGAATAAGATGCCTCTTTTGTTCTTCACACTTTTCACATGGAGAGCGCAATATGGCTTTTGTCAGAGGTGCTCCATCATGTTGGCTCAAGGAAACTGTCAGTACAGTTTGGGATTCGTTATTCATGGGCAGATATCCTGATGGGTCTAATGAAGCCTTTCTGCTGACAACTCATTTGCTAAAAATACCCAACCATTGCAAAGTATAAATGAGGAATATATTTCTTTCCTCATTACTGTGTTTTCCTCTCACAATGGCAATTATGTCATGAACCTTTGTGATACTCAAGCTGGGCTGCACTGAACTTCACCATGCAATCTTTATAGCAATAGCCTGGGCATCGGTCATGGTCACTATTTCTGTTTCCTTGTTTCTTACTCCTCGACAAACTTTATGACATCTTTAAATTGCAATATAATAGGGTAAACACCAATGTTGTTGCACACATGCCGTGCAGACAGCCTGTGAGCCATTTGTTGAAAATTTTGAGCTAATTAATGCAAGCCCCCCTCCTGAACACAGCCATGGGTCATTTTTTAATAAAAGTTTTCAGGTAATGTCATCAAAGTTGAAGCAACTAGATAGATAGATAGATAGATAGATAGATAGATAGATAGATAGATAGATAGATAGATAGATAGATAGAGAGACAGGCCAATAGCTCAGTCTATATAATTGACTACTATGATCATTCTCTCTCATATAAAATTACATTCAATATTCCATAGGCATATCATCATATTTTTCTGAAAAAAATGTATCAAATAGGGTTCCATAAACAATCTCATCCTTACAGCTTAATGTGTAATATGCTATGTGACAAATATAACATGTCTCTTTGATTAATCCATCTCATATATTATGGGGCACATCACAGGTAGAAATGGGAATTTTGAAACATATGAATCCACATTTCTCAAAAATGTTTGAAGTGATGCACATTCTTCTTTCTTCTATTATAGTCCAGAAAAAGTTCAAATTAAGTAAGTGATGGAATAAATAAAATCTACCTAGAACAGGCATTACGCTGACCAACCTATAATCACTTTAGAGTCCCTTGTTTGGGTTCTCTGCTTCTTCGTAACCAATCATATTTTCTTTCTTTAGGAAAGCTTTTAAGATCTATCTGTTCTGGACAGCCTTTCTGGCAGTATATTTTTATAATGCCAATCATTTTTTTTAAAATGAATTTTTCATGTTTTCTTCTGTTTGGTTCCTGCCTCACTTTCCCTGCTTCTCTTATCCTTCTTATTATATTCAGTTTGATATTCTGATCCTGCAGGCAAGAGATTATCATTTTAATAATGTACTGGAGAACCACCTAGGATTTCTAAGCACTCTGTAAATAAAACATGATGGTATTTCAGAATGGCAATGACATAGTCCTGTAAAGAGTTTTTTGGCAAAGGATATTTTCAAAATGGAT